CAAGTAGAGAGCTTAAGGGGGAAGTTTTTACTGCCTAAAAAGAGAGAAGAGGAAGAAGAATGTGCAAGGATCAAACAACAACCAAGAGGAGGTACTACATGAAATTAATAGAGTAAGAACAGGAGGAAATTGGTATTAGAACTATGTTCAAAAGATAGAAAAGAATAAGAATCAAGTGGTTTTGTGGTTAGATTGCAAAGAATCCAATCTCCCCTTAACCTTTGTGTAATTCGGCCAAGACTAGGGTTTGAGTTAGAGCTGGAATTTGATGATGTTGATGCTTCTAATGTGTTTAGAATGTAGGGTACAACTTAGAAAACAAGCTTGGAAGCATTGGAATTAAAAATAAAAAAAAACCCTATGTATTTGGCCATGTCTAAATGGAGGAGAAGGAGTTGGATTTTGTTGATTTTGAGCTTGAGAATAGATTCTACATACAAAATTTTGAGGGAATAGCATGTAGAATTAATTTTAGAAAAATTGAAATTAAAGCTCAAAAGTTAGAGATTAAAGTATGTTAAAGAGCAAAGTACGAATGTCATTGATTCCATGGCTCTAATAAATGAATGGCAATAATGTGTTAATATGATTAGGGCCATGTGACATCAAGAAATATAAATGGAACATTTTGATCAAGCAACCTTGACGGTTGGAGGCAACAGGAACAGGAGAAAAGATTAAATGTAAAAGGCTGAAGGTAGTAAAATTTACCCTACTCTTAGGTACTTAATATTTGCTTGCATATATGGCATGTTTATATGTTTAGGTGATATTTATGAACTCATGCATTGTGAATGTGAATATGTTTAAAGTATGCCATAGGCTTATGTGATTTCTGTTTAAGGTATGATATTTTCCAAACATGTCATTATGTTATAAAGATGTGAAATTTGCAAGCATATTATGAATGCCAAGCTATGCCTTATATGTTTGAGTAGTTATTATTTGCTACTGAGATTCTATCCTCCCTTAACCAACCATAATAGGTTTATGAGCAAGAAAAAAAAGGACACAAGATATGGAATCAAGAAGAGAAGAATTCAAGAAATTTTATTTCATGATATGTTATTTATGAGATTAATGATCAATGGTATGTTGGGATGATAGCATGCAAGATAAAGAAAGTTTATAGCATGTTATTACAAGTAAAGGGATAAACTTTCTCATAATGAATAATAAATTTGAGACAAAGCAAAAGTGAAGTAAATGACTGAATCTGCCATATCTTAATAAAAAAGTGGTAGATCACCTAAAATAAATATGTGTACTAAAAGATATAACTGTTCAAAGTTAGGGTACGGAATATGAAAATGTACTGTTTAACCAAATGAGTAGTATAACTTTATGTGTAAAATTCTGGAATGAATGAGTACGAAAATCAACCAATGAATATTTTTTGCTTGTAGAGGATTGAAAGAACTTAAATAGAGACTTAAATTACCTCAATATGATTTTTTATAATTAGTTATGAATTTTCAAACTTAATCCAAAAATCTAGAATTAACCAGTGAATAATAACCTAAGAAATTAAATGCAAGTTTTCAATCTACGAGTTTATTTCATGATCTGTTTGAACTGTAATGCTTGCAGACGCGAATTAAAAAGGGTAAATAGAATAATGTTTCACCATCTATATACACAAGAAAGGAAGAATAAGAAGTATTCCAATTAAATAAAATATACATTATTTATATACCCACTTAAGAGAAAGGCAATGAAAATAAATATGGGTCACAAAAGTAATAAAATAAAGGGAAAATAAATATACCAATTCTTATACTTTTGTCTCATTTTTAATCAAGTCCTTGAGTTTTTTTTTCTCTTTTATTGCATCCTTATTGTTTCTACCGTTTGAGGCATCCATCCCTGAATATTGAAATTATTAATTAAACACTAACGGACGTTATTTTGAGTGAATTGGCTAATAACTTGATGAGGTGGCTGGTGATTGGACCCTTCTTTTTTGCCGGAGGACCAGACTCTCTTGAGTTGGAGGTCTGTTGTCGTTGTGATCGTGTTATGGCATCTTTTAGGCAGAGACAAGCTTGCTTTCTTCAACAGAGAGGAGGCTAGATGATTAAAGATGATCGCTAGGTAAACTTCGTCATGTGATTCGCTAAGACAAGCAAATAAGTGATCCAATTTTTTTAGCATATGGGTCATTGAACGGAGTTCATCAATTCCAACAATATCTGATGGTCATGTAGTAAGGTACACCAATAGCTTAAGCAACAACAAGAAATAATTGTTGAGGTTAAATGAACTAGCCAACACTAAATGAAAGGTCAACATTAAACTTTTTTTTTTGAGAGCAAATTGTATATATTGAACATATGCCATTGTTGAGATTTCTCTATTTGCTATAGTAGTCGATTCCTTCCGACAAGTTATCCACTTACTTTTTTTTTTTTTTTGTAATTCTCATGCTTTAGTATATATGTAATGTTGAGTTCATAAAAAAAAAAAAGTAAAGCTATGATTATAAACAAAATCATACAGAATGAGTAAACACAAAGTAATTAGAAAATCAATGTTTATGGGTAATTTGATTTATTTATCCTCCTCCTCCTCAGCATGTTCGTGGAGCATTAGTATTTAGCTTAATGAGGAATGTGTGCCATATGAGAAATTATTTGCTGCCATCATATTACTCTATTCACCTCTGTTTTTTAGGGACAAAAAAAGAGGTGAACAAAATAACATTATATCTTTCTTGTTTCCATTATACATGAATATATATCGACTTGTTAAACTTAGAGACTAATAAATATGATGCTCAGAAGCTATCAGCAATGCTATAATTGGGAAAAAAAAAAAAAGACACCAGTAAACTGGAACCAATTTTCTTGTGAATGAAGCTCAGAGACTCCATGGACAAACTCAATTTTCTAACACCTGAGTGTTAGACTATGATTATGAGTAGTGCTACTTTGTAGGCTTCTTATTGTTGTGCAGTTTGTTCACTCCAAGGACAAAACTCCGACACCAGCGCTAGATCCCAACGCCTAACTCTTTTGCCTTTTGGAATGATATAAAGAGCAAGTATTAGCGTGATAACTACTATGAGATTGAGATCGTTATATGGCTTTACTTGACATTTGTCTCCTGCCACGTCAATATTGCCACATTTGATCTGAGCTGGCAGTCACATCACTCTTCCAAACACTGTTCTTGCTTGTTCTGACAATTTCTAGACAGAAGGATTAAAGCCTCTAACGGTGAAATCAATAAGATCTAATAAAAAAGAAAAATAGTTTAAGGACCTAATTAAAAATTAGAAAAGTACAAGGAGTGGCATATTAATTTTTTTAAAATAAACATAGACAGTATTCATTAAGAGAGGAGAGAGGTGGGGTCATGAAGAGACAAATATATATACACGCACACGCCATCTAGAACGCATAAAAGAAAAAAGGTGGGTTAGGATGAAAGATCTGGACACCTACACTTGACAAGACATACAACAGTAATGAAGGAGTGAAAAGTTTGACAAGATAGTAGGAGAGAAAAACAAAGAGGAAGAAGGAGAGGAAATAAGAAAGGTACCAGCAGCAAAGAGCAGGAGGTGAGGGGGGGGGGGAATTTACAGGGGGAGATGTTTAGGGTTAAGATTTTGCTTTTTGCCTGATTATAAAATAATATAATAATATTTTTTCTAACTAATATAGTAACTGTAATGAACTTCTTCATTTTGTTTTCCTTTTCACACATACCTAAACAATTATTTTATGAAAATATTCTCTTTTCCCACATCTATTTATATTTGTTATTACTTATTTTATTATTTATAATTATAATAATAATAATTATTATTTTTACACCCTTCCGAAATCATTCTATTCTTTAATTATAGACCTTAAATTATAATTGACACTAAATCCCAAAATAAATAAATTAAGGATGTTGCACTCTTGTTTTTTGAACCTTTAACCAATGTTATCATTGATTCACCTCATCTCATAGCTTTAAGTTTCAAGTTGGGGTTAATTAATACCAATCACAGCTATCTAATCTTAAGTCAAGTTACGCCAATTTGTCCTTTTATCAAAATTCTGAAAGTGGTCCTCCTAGACTTCAAGTTTCAAAAGAAGTTTCACCCCACTTTAGCTAAGTGTGCACAAAATACTTACGAGCTATATTAGTAGCCACAACAGAAGAATTAGAGTTATATGAAGTTTCAGCTAATTCCTCGAGGCACAATTCAAGACCTTGAACTTGAGGCCGATAAAGCAAGGCTCAAATCTATAAACAAAAAATAAATGTTATCTCTATGTTATATGAAGAAGCTATGAATTAAATTATAGCCTCTAAGTTTTGAGAAAAGTTGATTTCTAAATAACCATGATGGACCTTCTGTATGTAGTTTTGTTCTTCTACCATGGTTAGTTTGAGATTATAAATTTAGTTTTTTTATACTAGAGCTTTCATATGGTTTCTTTTCTTTTCTATTGACTAACAACACTATTGACAAAAAAGATAAAAGCCCTGCTCTTACTAAAGCGAAGAACACTGTACTCTATAAGAGAAAATAATATTTCTTCTATTTTAAATATAAGAATTAATTGAGAGATTATCTTATTTTAAAAATGTAAGATTTTAATTTATTTTTTCTTTTAAATTATCCTGATTATTATTGTACATATGAAAGGAAAATTTTCTATTGATGATAGATTCCAATATAAATGATTTAAGGTAAATGTTTTAGTAATTAACACACAATTTTTTCCAAATAACTTAATTAACTGATTTTATTAATTTTGTAAATTAATCGCCTTACTGCCATATTTAAAATCGGATGAATATGGAGAAATCCATGGGCATGATCCACAGATCCCATGCTCCACATATACCAAAATCTAAATATAATTTCTGGCAAACTTAAAAAGGAATTTCGGGAATTTTGCGATCCACGTGTTTCCGTGGGGCCAGACAAAGAATCGAGTCCCGGGGAAATAGATGGCCTTTCTTGCTCCGTTGGCTTCTCTAAATCTCTACCAGTGCTCGTGTATACGTGCTCATGGCTTCAACACTACCGTTTCCCTACAGTCATCATGTTTGTTTGCCTCAAAATTTTGCTCAATCCCTACGGCGAACTCCGGTGCTTTCTTTTCCGTCTGTCTCGATTTCTCATGTTAAGTATTTTTTTACAAAAGCAGTTTCATCCTACAGAGAAGGAGCCCAGGACGCTATCAGGGAACAAACTATTGAAACCCCAAGTTCCGATTCAACCCAAAGCCCCATTTCATCTTCAAAATTGGTTCTCGTTGTTGGTGGCTCAGGAGGTGTTGGTAAATTCCCGTTGACCTTTTCTCTACTGTTTCACTTGTCGTTCTAGATTAAACTGCTACAAGTTGGTGCTCATGGTACAATGTAGAAGTTAATGATTACGCCATTCTTGGGGTAGAAACAAATTTTTTTTAAAAAAAATTGACTTTTATATACACTAGTTAGACAATCAATGAATCAAATTGTTAATTACTTGAAAGCTTATCATATCCTTCTATGCGCATGTTTGTGTTTGTTCTATCAGCTCATCCTAGTTTTGGGTTGCAAGGCTCCAGACAGCAGAATTTCCTCAAGAATTTATCAGCACCTTTTCAAGAACCTTTTAGTTTATAGTTACACCTGAGATGGCTAGCAGTGTGTTCTCTTATTCTGTTGCATACAGTTATGTTTCATAATGGATCTATTAACAGCCACCAACTAACAACTAGTGCACAGCTCCTGATTACATATGACTGCTATTGACGCACAAACATACACACCACTACGACTGCTAACTTCATTTTTTACACGTAACATGTATTAAACTGTGTTCTCAGATTAGTGCTATATAATGAGGAAACGCCTGCTTCTATGCATATTTGATGTTAGCTTGGAGGTTTGTAATGTAGTTGGCTTACTTTGCAGGGCAGCTGGTGGTAGCATCACTGCTTAGGCGAAACGTTAAGTCACGCTTGCTATTAAGGGATCCTGAGAAAGCCAAATCATTATTTGGTGAACAAGATGAGGAGATACTGCAGGTATTTTCGCTCGTCCTAACTGAGCAATCAAATTACAAGTGTCATTTTTGAGACCTCCTTCTTGTGAAAACAAGCTTTGTCTCTCAAACTTGATTGCATTCCTTCTCAAGATTGTTAAGTTATAGAGAGCTTTTGAACAAGATAGGTATTCAAAGGAGATACTAGAACGCAAGAGGATTTGGATCCATCCATATTTGAGGTACACTATCCAATGTGAATTGCAAATACTTCATTTCCTTTAAATTTGATTGATTTTCATGTGTAAAATCATTAATCAAAAGCAATGTAATAGAATTATTACATTGATTGTTTTTTTGGGGTGCTTACATGAATAGGGAGTCACACATGTGATTTGCTGCACAGGAACAACAGCTTTTCCTTCAAAGCGGTGGGATGGAGATAATACTCCAGAAAGAGTTGGTCAGAATTTTGTTATTATTAAGTTACAACACTTGACACTGTAATCGAATGAAAAAGGAAAATTAATACCAAAAAGAGTCAAGCGTGGGAAATTTAAAATTATTAATGCTTCCATTCATCCATACATTTGTGCATACTGGACTGGGTTCGCTAAATTTTGTTTTAATACATTTTTATTCTTTTTGATCTGAGAATCTTTTTTACCCCCGAAGATTGGGATGGAGTAAGGAATCTGGTATCTGCATTGCCCTCGTCAGTGAAGAGAGTTGTTCTTGTGTCTTCAATTGGTGTGACAAAGTTCAATGACTTACCGTGGAGGTAAAAATACTTAATAATTGTGGATTTAATAATGCATCTTTCAATTCTCTGTTTTCATTGGTTGGCTCCCTAGAAAATCATAACTATGTTTCTTGTATTTCAAATTGGGGCCTCTTAATTATTCTAGCAAATGACATCACATTTTGTGTCACAATCATTCACGATTCTGCTATTGCCTCCTCGGTAAAATTCTTCTTGCTAGATTATAGTTTAATCTCAACATTAAAGCTTTCTGTTCTCAGCCCTGCAGTAAGAAAATGTGTATTTAGGAAGCAAAAGAGTTTGTCCATAAGCCATCTACTAAAATTGAAGTGTTTTTCAATAGAGGGGCACAGTTAAACAGTGATTATTTGATGATTTAACTTTTAATAGTCAACTTCCTTGATTAAACATTAATTATACACGAACATTGGTGAGTGCTGTAATGTTTTACTTCTCGTTAGAAATCATGGCTCAAACCATGGTTTCAAAAGCAAAGTAGCCAAACACTCATCCAAAGGCCAAAAGTGATTTTAACCTCCCAAAACCATGGCTTCAAAAGTTCTCCCAAACAGGTTTCTCATCTTTACTTTTAGGGACGCAAATTATTTTTAACCCAGGGCATATTTGGTTTTAATCTCTTTATGACCCAGTAACTGACCTTTATTGGTGATTAAAAGATGTCATAAAATATGACTGTTCTGTCCGAAATTAAAAGTGTTCTGTGAACCTTCTAAATTTTCTACTATTTTGTCTCAAATTTGTTTGTTAATATCCTGATGTAGACTGCCCTTTGACAAGATATAATAAGAGAAAAAGAAAAGATCAAGGTCGTTGTTATTGTGGTTTTCTTTATTGAGTTAAAGTTAGGTACAAATCAACTCGCTGATGATTTGAAGAGAAAAATCAAACTACAGTTTGATCAGAGTTGTTAGTTCAAGGCACTAATTGGCTTCCTTTGCCACATTGCTTTTGGCTTAAAGACAACCCCCCTCCCCCAATTGTCTAGAATAAGAGGCACCCACTTGTGCCTTCTTATTCCTAGATTTACCAAGCATAGATCAAAACTTTAAAGGTTGACTGAAGTGATAGGTCGAATTCTTGTGGAGTGATAGGTTGACTGAAGAATTGGTGCTACTTTAAAGGTTATAAATTGGTCCTTTTTAAAGAATGCCTTTGGTTGTAACCAAAAAATAGAAAAGGATGTCTTTGGTATCTCCTTTATTTGATCATTCTTTTAAAAGGCTTTGCTGGAAGTTGGAACTACATAATCAATCCCCAATTTACATGATGTAGGCAAGGAAAGAATAAGAAGCTTCTACTGGAAATTGAGGTTTTACCAAATGAATTGCCCAATGCATGGGAATTATAATGGTGGATGAGAGACACATGGAGTTCTTTTTTTTATTTTTTAGTTGACTAGGTAGTCTGAGATAAATTGGGGTAAGGACAGAGGGAGAATCAGGCTTAATTTGTTTATGTGGGGAGTTCCATTCCTTTTTAAGTTGTTTTTGTGTCTATTTTAACTGTAACGCAAGGGAAATACTTTAGTCATAATATGCTATCAAATTAATACATTCCTAGGTGCATGGTGAACGTAGGGTTGAGATGTTACAAAACGAGATGGGTGGCTTGGAGAGACATTGAAAATAGAGTCAAACTTGGGTGAGCTAATGGAATTCACGGCTGTAATCAATGGTTCCCTTGTCGGTAGGGAAGAGAGGAGAAAATCAGTAGTTGTGTTGTCTCTTGCACAAAGGTAAACACAAAGGGTTAAGGTGCAATTTGTTTCAAGAGTTTTCACTCAAGATCATTGGGTGTCTGGAATTTTTTTTTTTTTGGGGTGAAAATTTGCTTCAAAAGTTTAAAATCGTAGTAATTTTGCCCCCCATACCATTACAAAACTAATGTTGACTGTCAAAATTGTAACGTTGACTATTACATTTTTAATGATTGGGGGCAAAATTGTTATGATTTTAAACTTTCGGGGCAAATTTGCACCTAAAAAAACTTTTGGGCATCCAGTGCTCTTGTGTGAAGACTTCTGGGACAAATTTGCACCTTAACCCTAAACACAAAATTCCAGGTGTGACAATGGCACTGAAAGACCAGATTTGGCTAAATTTAGTGCACAAGAAGAGGGGAAAAGAAAATAATAGAATTCTAAATATATCTTAGATATTGATGTACAACTTATAGTAAATATCAGGATAACTATTTTATTTGATTATAGACAACCTGATAAGAAATCCTTATATTTCCTAGATATGAGTGCCTAGTATTTTAATCCTGCTCTCTACTAGGAGATAAAGTATCTCATTGCTCGAATTTCTTCTTTGATAATTCCTATTCATCGTAAATTGTCCCAATTATCCTATTACGAAGCTCCAGTCCCGTACTGTACTGGCAACATCTCATAATGAAATGAAATTAATTTCATGTTTCCATCTTCCATCATAGTTGCACTTTTATCATCTAGAAGACTTGTTGATTGTTTGTGTCACACATCTACTCATAATCTACTTTGTGGTGTAGCGTTATGAACCTATTTGGTGTCCTCAAATATAAGAAGATGGCAGAGGATTTTCTCCAGAGTTCGGGCATTCCATTTACTATTATCAGGTAAGGTGAAAGTTGCGTTTACTTATTATCTTTGCTGGTATATAAATAAATAAATGGAACACATTAATTTGGATTATGTGCCATTGAGCTCTTAAATCTCTTCATTCCACATTTTAATGCATGTCAGACCTGGGAGGCTGACTGATGGGCCATACACGTCTTATGATCTTAATACTCTGCTCAAGGCCACAGCAGAGCAACGGCGTGCTGTCCTTATGGGTCAAGGTATGTTAAGATGCTTGTTTTGCCTTGGCACTAGTTTTTATGTTTTTGTTCTTCATTTCTAAGCATTTTCAACCAATGAGTATAGAGAGGCTGCTAGAAGCTCAATGTGGTGATATTATATTATAAACCAACGATTTGATTGCTAGTTTGGTTTGCGTTTTAAGAACAAGTGGAATCTGAATTGGGACGAGTGTTTCTTTGTGGTAATGACCATAGCTAGGAAAATATGGATGCTAGGCTCTCTTGATTAGCAATAGAAATTGCTCAAAGCTTGGAACTACGTACCATTTGTGCTGAGGGTGCTATGTCACATACAACTCTCTATGTCTTTTGTAAGGTAGATTGATTAGAAAATGGAGGTTCCGGTTTGGTAAGTTTTGAAAATGGTATAGATATTGACATTGGAGCTACCATTTTGTACGTGACTCCCCACAATTGTAGCAACAAATGAAGTTGATCTGAACCAATGCAAAATTATCCTGAATTATACGTGATGAGTCTTGAAATAAATGGACAGCATTCTTAAAATATCTTGAGAATTGGTCTATAATTTATTTGAATCTTTTCTCTGCGTTTAAAACAAACCAATTTGTTCTTCTTTGAACTTGCAAAAAAACAAGTGAAGGTCTTCATACTCGGACCAAATTTATCACCATTCCCTTTCATGAAACTCAGCTGCAGAACTAACAAAAGAAACAGCAGAAGTGAAATGCTAACCAATGTAAGCATCTGGACTTTACATAATACTCAGAAGAGAAAAGACTCAACTTTTAATGTGACAAATGACAGGGCAGTTCCTGAATTTTCTAAATGACTATTCGAGTTGAAACACATGGTAGTTATCAGGAGTAGAGTTCACCATAGTTAATACTTCTATAATTAGTTTATAATTGGGATGGTCTTTTCTTTCTTTTTCTTTTTGATAAGCATCTGCAATCGACTTTCAGGAGATAAACTGGTTGGAGAGGCCAGCAGAATTGTTGTTGCTGAAGCTTGCATACAAGCTCTGGATGTAGAATTCACTGAAGGCAAAGTATATGAAATCAATTCTGTTGAGGTAAGCTTTTAATAGATTTCGCATTATATAGTATAAGCTATGGCATATGAATTTGTAATGTCAGTGCGATTAGAAATGGCATGACAAAAATTTAAGGGGCCAATCTTCCTTGGCTAAGTAAAAATACTGGCGATTACTGTTTTGTGCCTCAGCATCCTTAGGTTGCGCAATTTTAACCTTTTATTTGCACTTCGCTTTCATCGTGAATACCACAACTTGGGCCCTGTTTTTGCTGCCATAAGAGAGGCATTTGCTTTTCATTCCTATATAAATGGGATACATAACATCTGCTGATCTGCACCTCTAGTAGAACTTATTTTTGTGATCATCGAGAGAAGTTCTCATTTTCAACATTTTTTGGCTGTAACCTAAATTTGTTTCTCCCATATTGCACAAAGTCTAAGGAATAAGCCACACTATTCACGACTTATAATAGCTTCTTGTAAATTTTATATTGTCGGTTAATATGAATTACGGGTCTTTAGTTGTCATCTTTTCTGTCAGTACGTCTCTTATTTCAATTTGTATTTCTGCGGATAGAGGTTTATGGACTAAAATGAATATATTGATGCATATAATTGATGCTAAAATGAATATATTGTAATAATGATCATAGGGTGAAGGTCCTGGAACTGATGCTGCAAGGTGGCAAGAACTATTCAAAGCTGCAGAGTCCCACTAACTACAAATACATGGTTTGTGTGTGTATGTGTAACATGGAAACTGACAATTAGGCATCTTAAATTACTGTTGTAAAGTGTAGTATTCTAATCATGTCTTCAGTAAGTAGCATGCGTGTGTAAATCTGTACGATCTTGTGTTGCTGTTTTGGACAAAGTTCCATGGTTTTGTCAAGCGCGGCAGGAAGACATTCCGTCTATCCTTGCAAGCTTTGTACATTTCTTTTTTTATGGTTTAGTGGCATCCTTGGCTTATCCCCAAAAGGGGGGGGGGGGGGGAGCATGTGCGTCAGATGGGAACCAGTTTCCCTGCTAAGCACGATGATGCGCACCAAGTGCTCATCACCCAAAGCGCAGCGTTTCAATTAAAAGTAGACAGGGGTTCTATTTATTAAATCGCCACAGTGGTGTTAAATTGTTAATAGCTCACACCAAGTAATTTTTGTGGGGCTCTACAAACACGCTTTTGCATTTCTCTTCAGCACCGCTTTATACAAATTGCTCTTCTGCATTTGAGCCAGAGTGGTGCAATTTTCCTATAAGAAATCGATGAAAACCAACATCTGAACCATTATTTTAAGTTTTTTTGCAATGGCTTCCGTTCGTCTCTTCTTCAAATCCTACTTTGGTTCATGAATCCCTGCACCAGCAAACTAGATCTGCGTAATCCTTTCAAGCATCATTGAACCAAATCTCACTATATGCTGTTGAACCATGCGTTACCTTTTATCCCCATGTGCCGTCCAAGGACAGCCGCCGTCAATGACGACGCTCATAGGTGAAAAAACAATTCATGTCTGTAACCTTCCACTGTCAAAAGCAATTTCAGAATCTAACGATTAGGGTTATCATGCAATCAGTGGCCAAGATTTCTCCCTTAATTACTAAACGATGCGTTTGGGTGATGAGCACCTAGCAGGGAAACTGGTTCTGCGTGAGATGTGAGCTTTCTTTATGCTAGGTGTCTGTGTGTGTGTTTCTTTGTATTTTTAAGGTTTTTACCAACAAGAGTTGGTCTAGTTGATAAGGAATCAACTCATAACCTACAAGATCATGAGTTCAAATCTCAGTACTATATGAGGATCTTGTTGGTGACTATCTATAAATATTTCTATAAGCATTCTCTAAATCTGGAGATATGCTTTGCCTCGGGTGGGCAAGAACTAATTCACCTACACTTTTTTCTTTTTGCCAAATAAAAAAGTTTTTATTTTTGAAAAAAAAAAAAAAGATCTTCAAAACTAGTCAGAAAACTTGAAGCAGTTAACTATTATTATAACGAAGCACTAAAGATGAGATTAAGAAGGAAGCATATTGAATTATTTATATTGTTTGATGCAGTTTGCTTGTAAAGTGAAATTACATTTTATAATGCTTTACATTGTATGCCTTTCTAATTGTAAATATTATTCTTATTTACATTTTTGATTTACTCTTTATCTTGTCGTAGTTATCATTTATATAATTCTTTCTCAAAGCATGACAAATGTTTGATTTTTTTAGGTGCGCATGTAGTTATTTGGTTAACTTATAATGTTATGTTCTCACCTAAAACAAAAAAAAAAACTTATAGTGTTATGTTTTTATTGACATATGATATATTTGTCATATTTTAATTTAATATTTTAATAAAAAGGTTAAGCCTACTTTGGTTCTTGTATTTTTAACGGGTTTTTATGTTGGTTTTTAAACCCCTCATTAGGATATATAAGGATGAGAATTACTCAAAATTAAAACTTGTTGAAAGTATAAATTTAAAAAATGAAAAATAAAATGTGTGATAGAAGAGGACAAACATCCATTTTTGACTAACAAAATCAATTTTGAGTAGAGAAATTGATTTTTCAATAATAAAATCTAATTTTCAACATTTGAATTCATGTTCTATTTCTTAGTTTCAAATTTGATATATCATCAATTTGAGTGGGAGCAATTCTTCATATGTTTCTTTGACCAAAAAAAAAATCTTCATATATTCACAAATGACTAGACAATTTTTTTACAAAGTCACAGAAGAATTGCATCATATCCCTTTGACCAAATATAAATTTCCTTTGTAGCAAAAAAAAATTTCTCAAATAAGAAATTCCCTAATTTTTTCTTTTTAATGATAATATGAAAAGTACTGAAACAAGAACATTGAGACTACATCAAACAATTCTGAATTGAGTTGAGGTGCTCTCTATCTTCACACTCATCAGGTGCTTAACACGCACACACACCATGAATTATGGGAAAATTTCATTTAAGGACCGTAGAAGAGCATTTATATCAGTCAACTTCTAAAATATTCTAAAATATCACTACAGTACTAAAGAACCAAATTGAAATTAAAATTAAGAGTAAGATTATAATAATACCTCTCACTTTATTTTTTTAAAAAATAAATATTAAGGGACGCAACTGTTCCGGCCACCGGTGCTCAGGTGGCCGTCACTGGAGGTTGGACCTCTAGTGGTCGTTACTGTAGCTTTGGTGGCCAGAACCCATGACTCCTTGGCACAGCAAAAATAATGTAACCACCAAGCCAAGCAAGCCATTCAATTATGTGATGCAAATAAAAATATGTATATAACAAAACAAACGTAACTGTTCAAGTATAAGTGAACAGGTGAAATTAGATGATTTATAAGTAAAATTCAATAATTTACAATAAAAATTAGGCAATTTACAAATAACATAATAAAATTCACAACTCTAAATGCAAATGTTTAAATGCAAATGAGAAAATGAAATTTGAAGATTTACAACAAAAGTTTATGGATTTACAACCCAAATTTGGCTATTCACAAGAAACATAAGAGAATTCACAACCCAAAATGTAAGTGTGTTGAGTGTAAGTGAACAAGTAAAATTCAACAATTTACAACAAAAATTTGACAATTTACAAATAACATAATAGAATTCACAACCCTAAATGCAAGTGTTTAAGTGTAAATGAGCAAGTGAAATTTCAATATTTACAACAAAAGTGTATAGATTTACGAGTGAAATTCGACAATTTACAAATGAAATTCGACAATTTTACTTGCTTATTTACATTTATATATTTGTATTTGGGGTTATGAATTTTATTATATTATTTGTAAATTGCCTAATTTTTGTTATAAATTTGTTGAATTTCACTTGTAAATTCATAAACTTTTGTTGTAAATCTTCAAATTTCACTTGCTCATTTACACTTAAATATTTACATCTGGAGTTGTGAATTCCATTATGTTATTTATAAATTGCTTAATTTTTGTTGCAAATTACTGAATTTCACTTGTAAATCGTTGAATTTCGCTTGTAAATTATCAAATTTCACTTATAAATTCATAAACTTTTGCTGTAAATCTTCACATTTCACTTGCTTATTTACACTTGAACACTTACATTTGGGGCTGTGAATTTTATTATATTATTTGTAAATTGGCTAATTTTTGTTGTAAATTGTTAAATTTCACTTGTAAATCGTCTAATTTCACTTGTTCACTTATACTTGGATATTTGCGTTTGTTTTGTTATATATATTTTTATTTGCATCACATGATTGAATGGTTTGCTTAGCTTGGTGGTTACATCACTTTTGGTGTGCTAAGGGGTCATAGGTTCAAACCTTCCCTTAGCCACCTTGTTTAAAGAAAAAAAGAATTCGGCCACCGAAGCAGTTGCGTCCATTAATATTATTTTTTAAAAATAAAAATGAGGGGTATTATTATAATCTTACTCTTAATTTTCATTTCAGTTTGGTTCTTAGTCCTGCAGTGATATTTCATAATGTTTTGGGGGTTAACTAATATAAATTCTCTTTTGCCATCCTTAAATGAAAATTTCCCTTGAATTATTCACAATGACACAGCCAGAACTTTCCGGGAAAAATGACGATAAATTAGAGAGACCAATTGCATAGACTAAAGCATCAATCACGTCGATCACAAAATATTAAAAGTAGTCAACAGCAAAAATATAGTAGTTAATAGTTAAGCAAGAATAGTCATCAAATTTTAAAAAAATAAAAATAGTCAATCACAATATTAAAGTAGTCAGTAATTAAATAAGAGTAATTATCAGAGTTCTAAAAACCAATTTAATCAATAGCTAGAAAAAAGTAGTCAATACATAAAAAAGAGTAGTTATCGAAACTTCGGTAACTAGCCAGTGGCAGGTTTCTTGATGCCGAAGCAATGGCAGCTAAAAACCTGCTGAGGTAGCAATATTTAAAAAGAAAAGAAAAGAAAAAATAATAAAGGGTGTTTGTGTAATTTGGCAAGATTTGAAAATTCCAAAATACTCCTTCGGTCTTAATATAAGACTTATTTAACTAATGTGATTAGATTAAGAAAATTAGATAAGTTAGTTAATTATAAGAAATATGACATATTTTTTCTAAAACACTATAATTATCTTCCTTAATATCCTCCCTTTTTTCTACTTGGTTACGGTTGAGAAAGTATCCATAGGGATAATTTAGAAAAATTAATAAATATGAAAAATATGTCTTGTATTTAAGATCAAAATCAACTCAACAATTAGGTCTTATATTAAGGATCGGAGGAGTAATACAAAGAATCTAAATTGAGATTTTAAGATTCATCGATATTGATTTATTTTTTAGTAATTTCTAAGATAGTTTATCGTCTTTTTTCTAAAAATTTTTGCACATAATGATGGGTTTCACATAGTCAAAGAAGAATTGCATAATATCCCTTTGCCCACCTAATATAAATTTCCCAAAACAGAATTTTCCCTAATTTTTTCTTTTTCTTTGTTAATGATAATATAAAAAGTGTTATAGATAAAGAAGAAATATAGAGAAAAATCATACAGAAGAAGAGATAATCAACAAGAGAAAGTACTTCTCATTCCATTCAAGTGTGCTCAATACATTACATGGCTTTATTTATAGCACAACTTTATACTTTTGATAGAATCTACAGATTACATAATAATATGAGATAATTGTGGGATATAGAGATAATAGGAGATATTAGAGATTATAAGAGATAGAGGAGATAATGGGAGATATATGGACATCCACAAAGATATTATTATATTCATAACACTCCCTCTTGGATGTCCAATATTATTAAAAAACTTCAACTAGGAAAAAT